GGGGGGGGGGGGTCAAAAGGATATTTTTGAGGATCAGGGCCCGAAATAGGGGCTGTCATTGGCCGAAAGCAAGCCATATTTTAGAAATGGCAGGCCAACTAAAACAAATTTGAACTGCCAAAGTAAAAAAAATGGCAGGTGAAATTCTGTAGACATATTTTTTCTATTTTTTCAAATATCTCTTTTCATTTAGTTAACTAAATACGTTTATATTTGAAATATAAATCCAAGTTTACTCCAAGTTTAAAAATAGTAAAAATGCCTATCATGAAAACATTGATTCTTACAATATGACTCATATGAGAAATCTCCATTTTGGTAGTTCAATTAACAAAAATGGCAGGCTAAAATTTATTTCACCTGCCAAAAAAATCTAGACTGGCAGGCCAAATTTTTTCTCTACTTCGAGTCCTGTTTAGGACATCCTTGCTTAGTGGACGTGTAGCTGGACACTGGTCGACACGCTATGTTCATGAGGACTAATGTACAGAGACCTAATTTGTCATGATTGTTATTATAAATAGAGAATAATACATGGGTGCGCGGAAATACCAGATTTATTTCGAGTGTTGAACATGATATCATGTTCAACATGAGAAATAAATCTGGTATTTCCAAGCACCCATGTATTTTTCTATTTATTATGGACAGTCTTTGAAAAAATAATTTTTACAGAAAAGCAAAATTTGAGAAGCGATAATTTTCACATGTGAGATTATCATTTTTATCATGCTCGAAATCTTTATAAAGCACTATACTTTATATAATAAATACTATTATTTGCTTATCCACGTTTTGACTCTGCTATTACTATCACTATAAAACAAACAGTATACACTGAATTATTGATCTAGGAAGGAGAGGGGGGGGGGGGCTAATTATAGCAGATTACATAGGTAAATAGGAGTGGGTCATTAGAAATTTGAAGATCGTTAGGGGGCTCAAGTGTTTTTGGTTCAGTCAGATTATTAATTTACCCACCCACCGTCCTCGATAAATAATGACTGGTCCCTAAAAATCGAACATTGTAAACCATATATAAAGACAGTTGAAAATCGATATCAATCAAACAGTTGAAAATCGATATCGGTCACAAAAATGACGTGACCACTGTTGCTTTGGCGACAATAACCAATCTTCTGGCTTTTAACGCACTTTACTTTTTATTTTAGTAAACATTTTATTGTAATGCCTTCAGTAGGCCATCTGATCTAGTTTAAAAGAATTTTGCACAGCCAAATTTAAAATTTATAAAGTTTTTTTCGTAATAAATATATTTTTGGCTCACAATTATTGTACTATAAACGTTTCTCAGTTGAAACAAAAAAGTGGGAGTAACCAGTTAAAAGCCAAAACATCGGCCATGTTGAATCGTTATTGTTGCCATAGCAACAGTGGTGAGGTCATTTTTGTTGGTTTCAAATTCTTACGCCCGTATTCTAAAAGCTCACTCACACTCATTGAGTGGAGGTTCAATCTGAGCTTCTCTCTGAGCTTCTCTCAAGTGTCAATGCTGTTTTTGAATAGCTGGAGGGCTAGTGTCATACTTTACTATGTGACTACCCATCGGGCACACGACGTTGCTTCAACGTTGAAATTTGGTAGAAACTAGGTTGCGACGTCGACAACCTAATATCTACGTTGCTCTGACGTTGTTTTATACAAACATTGGTTCAACAGCAGCCAACAGACGTTGAATTCATGGTTGAATGTACGACGTCGATTTGTGAACCAATCTCAACGTTGTTTTAACGTGGATTCAACGTTGAATTATGGTTGACGAGATTGGCAACCTAATTTCAACGTTGTTTCAACGTCGAAACAGTAACGTCGATCCAATTTGCATAGTCAACCCTTTTCCAACGTCTGGAAGGTCATTTCCAACATTGATTCAACGTTGGATAAACGTCATTTTGCCCGCTGGG